TTTTCTTGGGAATTAGTTTTCCACACGGTTATTATAAGAAAAAAATTCATTTTAATGGACAATTTTCATTTAAAACAAAGTCGAACGAACACTAAATTTTGATAAAAAAATGATTTTTTAGCAACATTTTTTTTTTCGTTTTTTATTTTTTAATAATGGAAACAAATTTTATAACCAATTGATGAAAAAATTATCACTTTAATAGACAATTTTCATGTAAAATAAAGCCAAACGAACACAAAATTTAAATTTTTTTTGGTGGAAAATTATAATAATCAAACACACTTAATTAACAATTCTCTGCAAAATATTTTTTAGACAAATTTTTTTTCTGAAATTTATTTTCTTTCCACTTATTTTCCACAATTCCAATTAAACGGAGCCTAAAAGTTAAGATGTGCCCATTTAATTTCACTTTTGAGATTGCTTAATACTTCTTGTGTCATCCTTGCATTAAATTGACTAGATATTCTCATGCGTACTTTTTTGCATTTCACCAACCACAAGTTGGACCTTCTCACATGAGAGAAATACTTGTGTCGTAAAATATCAAGTTCGCATAGATTAATACCTTACATTAAAAAAGTGGACATCAATTTCACACGGATAAATTAAATAAATGTCTACAAAATTTAAATTATAATTCATACTGATAAATTCAAATTTTTATCCATATATTTTGTAAGACTGACAATTATTATCTAATTTTTATTCACGTAGTCTGCAAAATTCACAATTTATAATCACTTAAAAGTTGTAAATATTAAAAAAAGTGGACATTAGTGGGAGTGGGAGAGAGTTGAGGTAGGTAAGTGGGACCATTTGCTACCTATTTTCAAAATTTACAAGCCATTCTACAATTTATTAAAATGTTAAAGGTCGTCTATTGTTTGATTGGAAGTAGTAAAGCGGTGGAAAGAAATGTATACCAAACACATTAATTTATTTGTAGTCTAAGCCACAACATGACACTGACAATAATAAATAACGGTCCACGAGTTTCTCGCGATTTTTAAAATTAACATTATGTCATACTTTCATAATGGAAGTGTAAATTCCGAAATTGTCTTTATATCTTGACCCTCCATTTAGACGATTTTAGTACTTCTTTTGGTACAAAACGAATATAGTACTTACATCCAAATTATGCGAAGTTTATGGGAAAAATAAATAAGCAATAAATAAAAACAAAAGTGTTTTATTTATCAATCCTCCAACTCCCCAAACTCCATCAATGTCTTGTGCTTGTTTGGATAAAATTATAAGTTACTTAAATTATATAAACGAGTGATAGATGAGTGAGTAATAATAGTGGATCTTATGAAACATGTGATTAAAACTATAATAAAATCACAATGTTTCTCAAACATTCAAATTAGCAGTCGCGTCCATGCAGTTTTGACATATTAGCATATCATTTCTACATATTAAATAGGAGTTTACATACTTTGATTTACTAAGTGTATAAGACTATAAGTTGAGGTGTTAAAAACGTATTAAAGAACGGTTAAAGAGACAACAAGTTCGGAACAACATTTCTCACCCCTTGAACGCCCGACAACCCCAAGAGATAATATACTAGCATATGCCAACAAACTAATTAAGCAAGAAAATGACATTCCAATGATTCACCTCGTGGTCCCAATGAAGATCCTTGATTGTATACGAGCTTTGGGAAATTTTTCAATTGCAAAACTAGTTCAGGTACGTACGCAAGATTAGCTATCTTCTGCATTTATAACAAATTATTGTGATGCGTAATCATTTCTTTGGCTAAATGTAGACAATCGGTCAGGCTAGAATATTCTTTTTGGTCCTTTTACTTTGTATATAGCTTTAGATGCTCATTTTGTATAACTCATTCAGTGAATTGATGAATGCAATGTGATTTATGCCCATCCTTAATTTTCTAGTATTTTTCATCTCACTGATTCATTAAAGTTTACGATTTCTTTATCATAAATGCAAAAATGAATAATTTGTTTCATTAAGGATTTTTCAGCCGAAGTAGGAGGTCAATAGCCTGAGCTTCTTCGACTAGAGGTTGAGGAAGTGCGGCCTCAATTATATTCCCTTGCAAATATTCAATAGTTTCAAGAAAATTATAACTAACAGAGTTAGTTTCCTCGACATCGTCAACTCCTGGCATAGAAAAGAACTCAAGGTTAGCCTCGAGAGTTCAGATTGAACACGTAACTTCATCTCCTTGGTAGCCTTGGCCTAGAATTATTTAGCCCTCGCTGCAAAATAATTTATGAGGATATTGAATATATAAATGACTTATAAATTCATTTAACTATTAATTTCAATCGTACATTCATAGTTACTATTCATTATTAATCACTGATTTCATAAGATCCACTATTTTTTGCTATGAACCACTTATAAATTTGACAAATGGAGTTTGGAGGGACTATAATGGCAAGTGATATTTGAATGGGCATGTAACGACTATTAGGGTGATGGTTGACGAAGGCGACGACAAAGGGATAGGGTGGGTAAGGATCAGGGGCGGACCCAGCACCTGGCTAGTCCCCGCGGTCGCCCTTGCTAGGTCCGTCAGAAGCTACAGGTTCTCGCCGCCAAGTTGCTTTCCGCCGGGAAGAAGAAGGACTGAAGGAAAGCTGCTGCTGTCTCTGTCTGGTCTTCTTCTGAATTCCGTTTCTGTCATGTTTTAATTTTTTTGGGCCTTACTTAAAAAAGGCCCAACTGAAACTTGTAAGTCCATTAGTGATTAGCCCACACAACTTATCCAATTTAACCAAATCCAAATCAATTACCATTTCCATTTACCGATTGTTTGTCCGGCAGAGAGAGGGGGAGAGTAGCGACTGACTATTACGAACGAGGGCGAAATTCCTATGGCTTAGTGGCTGTGCCTGTGAGTCTTTGACTGTGGTCGGAGGTCGGTGGTCTAGTGCAGAAGTGCAGTAGCTGGAGGCTGCTGGCTGAGCTTTGAAAATCGAAATCGAAGGTATTACCTCAAAAATCTTGGCATCTTGTCTTGGATTCTTGAATCTTAATCTTGCCCTTGTCAGAGTTGTGATTACTGATTTGTGAAACTAGATTTTTCTATGAATTATGAATCTATAAAGTATGTGGTGTGGACTGTGATTTTTAAAATTAACATTATTTCTTATTTTCATAATGAAAGTGTAAGTTCCGAAATTTCTTTATAGCTTGACCCTCCATTTAGAAGAATTTTGTGTTGTAACTTTATTAAAACTTAAACTTTA